AAGGAGACTACTTTGAGGGTGATTAGGTTTCCAATGCTCCAGGTATGCCAGTTTTTATTCCCCAGCCAAAGGTCGGATACTTTTCTCACAGGCCTCGTACATGATAGGAGAAATGATTATTTCCAGAGCAAACTGTCCTCACTTTCACATCAAATACTACCTAGTTCATGACATGTGCTCCCCACTCCAACTCCATATTCATAAATACTCTTCTCCACAGCATCAGCACACGGACCGTCAGTTTGCGCAAACCCCAAGTAATTATAAGAGCCCATGTTAAGGGCTCTAATAGATTCTCCTGTCATTCTGTAAAAAAAAAAAGTTGACATTAAAAACTTACAAAAATTTTTTTAATATTTTTCATTTACTTATTTAGAAAAATATACTGTAGTTAATTCTTATTACGTAAAATTATTCAAAATTGAGTTATTTTTCAAATAATACTGAAGTTACTAAAAATCAATAATACAGATAGTTGATTTTTTAGCAGAAACATGTGTTCAGTAAGTGTAGATTTTTACCTTAAACTGGGACATTTAGAGTATATAAAAAAAAGTAAAAACTGATTGTGGAAAATCAATGTTTTACAAACTTTAAGCTCCAACTTATCAGAGATAACAAACAAGAGCTGGGTTATTAGTGGAATTTGCTAATCAATTATTCGTTAGTCTCTTTAATTTATTACATTCAATTATTTCATTATTTTCAAAACAAACGAGACTTCAATAGTTGGAATAATTGAAAATATCAACAATTGGAAAGAAAGCCTGATTATTTTCATGAGTTGTGACACTTTTAAGCTGTTCAATCTTGAATTAATTAAAATTAATAATGGGAAATCATGGGCCCAGCATGGCCAGGTGGTTAGGGCGCTCAACTCGCAACCTGAGGGTCTTGGGTTCGAATCCCCATCACACTAAAACATGCTCACCCGGTGTCCAAACTAGGACGCCAGTCCTACTCCCGGATGTTCACCTCCAAAAGAACCATACGAAACAAAAAAACAAAAAGGGAACTTATGATGGCAGTACTTTGATTATTTGGATAGCTGGAATAATCAAAAACAGTAATAACTGGAAACAGTAACTTTTGATTATTTTTTGACATTAATAATCAAGTTAATTGCCCAGCTCTAATAATAATACTCTATGTACATACTATGCAATTTACCCTTCAAGAAATACCTTCTGAAGAATTTCAGGTTATGAGGTTTCTTTAGTTGTTTTTTTTATCAATTTCTTATTATTTTCAAACATTATGCAGTATTGTAATAAATTTGACTGAACTTATAAGAGTAAAAAGTATTTTTGAATTAATTTGCAATTTTTCTATGCATAAAGACAGAAAGTACAAAGAATGTTATTTTCTGTTATACATACCCAGTAATAGCAAATACTATATGTACATAAATAAAAACAACTAAAATACAACCTCCTGTTATTTAATTAGGAATGAATGTATATAATCCCATTCCTAAGTATTTCCTTTCTACCTAGCAGATGTAATTATAGTTGTTTTTTCATTTAACTAAATGAAGCATATGGAAAAACACTATGACAGCCCAATAATTACTGTGTTTGACTTTATCACCCAAACCATTGCACTTTGTTATCTTTTTGGATGTCCTTTAACTTTTCTATTACACTATAAAAGTTATATACAGTTACAAAAATCACAAATTTTCATAAACATTATGAAATCACAACTAAGTGTAAGCAAGTTGGCAGTAACATATCATGTTGAAAATATCTGAAGCTACAAACAGAAATTAAATGCAATAATAAATAAAAGACAGAATCTGGTATTAATGACACAACAAAGTTTGTTCATGTGATTGAATACATATACAAGTAATGACGTATGTAGGCTAGTTACAGTATGTTGATAAATACATTATGATTACACCAATTAATAATTTTCTTTACCGATCTAAAGGAGACTCAAGGCATTTGGTAGCATGTAAGTAAGAATGAAACTATTTTTCTATTTTATACAAGACAGAAGCAAGAATAAAGATGTCAAAATAAGTAAATATGCACCTGGATGTTTTTATGTATGTTAAGTCCATGTTTTAATGTTCAAAAAATGTATGATTATTGGTTTGCATACATTTGAAGGAGGTTTTTGATGTTCTCCTATTCGTACCTTCAGGTTATGTCCTGTTTCACCTATATGAAAGTCAGAAAATTTGTTGCATTGAATCTTGCAAATGCTCCTGGTTGGTTGGCTTCTTTATATATATTTTTCTTAACATTTGTTTATTATTCAATCCTGGGTTACAAATGAAATTGGTATATTTTTTTAGTTAATCTTCGACATATTTCTTCAGGAGGAATACTGCAGCTGTCACACTTTTGAAAATATTACCTAGCAGCACATATCAGCAGCTGGAGTGGCACCTATTTATGAATTTTGTTTGTTGTTAAGTGCAAAGCTACACAATGGCTACCTGTGCTGTGCCCACCACAGACATCCAAGTCTGGTTTTTAGCACTATAAGCCTTTAGCTTTACTGATGAGCCACTGGAGAGCAGTTATGGGTTCATGATAATAATAGTATACATACACAAACACACAAACATATATGGAACCACACAATATATATAAACAACATGTACGTATATGTATACTCATAATGATATAAGAATATATAAGAGTTACACTTGATTAGTGTAAAGTAAAAAAAAGGTTCACGGTCTAACAAAACTTTAGAAACTAAATCATTTATGTTGCAGATGATACATATTAAAGTTAAATTTAATATAAAGTACAATGATGTTTTTTTTAATGAAAGACCGCCAAGCAGTTTTCAATGGGATCTGCCTCTTATTCTGATTGATGCCAAAGGAAGAACTACATTTAGTAGTTCTTTCATCTTGTGTTTGTAGTCTTCTCTATTTAACATGAAAGTGATATTCCTTTTTTCTGCTGGGATTATACAATACCCCTATCTTTCTTAAGGTCATTTTGTACTTGGCATTCTTCAATTATTAAATTTTGGGTTTCATGTTATAATTGTATAATGCCTAGTACTACGGCTGTCATAACTTTCAGCAACAGAGCTAAAAGCTCACAAAAACAAAGATTCATCTTATGATGAAATGCCATAAGATTATTCACATACCTAAATTAAGTTACTATATGGTGGAGTAAAATGGACTCAAAACCCCACAAAAGATACATCTGTTTCTGTCAGGAACTTACTTTTTAATAACATATATAGTGTAAGTATATGGGTATGTTGGGCTAAGGATTCTTCTACAGTAGGTATCTGTGACTTGTTGGCAATAAATTAGACAATAAACAAACAGCATGCATGCCTCCACTTACTTTTAAAAATAATATACATATATATTCGAAATAAGTTGAATGTATGTACATAATTCTTTACATTATGGAGATCATAGTTGTATCTTAAACACTAAACAATTCTCTTCTTCTTGTCAAAAGTCCACTTAGGCCAATTCATTTTCTTTATAATTCAGTTGACAAGCCTATCTATCTTTCTCTCTACTTTTATTGCAATAGCATTTGTGTACAGTTCACTTACATTGTTGTTGAATTACTGCGGTTGTATCCTGTACTTCCAATAATTGTCTGCTTTCATACTTCCAATACTTGTCTGCCTTTTGTCCAATTCTACTGAGGTGGGTTCAATTACTTTAAAACACCATTTGACAAAACAACTTATTCTCTTTATCTCTTTCAAAATTGTTAATCTCACTCTAATATATCAACCATTAGGCCTTTCACTCTCATGATTGTTATCTTTACATTTAACTTTTCTCTGACCTAACTGCTCTTTCATGTGACTTTAGTTTTTTTTCTCTGTTTCTCCTCATCTGGTTGCCATTATTTATATGTCTATCACTTAGCCCTTCTAGAAATCTCCATAGCCTCAACATCAATGGATTGCAAACACAACATTCAATAGCTTCAATGAATTATAACTATGAAATAAATTAATTTCTAACACTACCTACACTAAATAGTCTTTTATATATCTGACAGTTTCTTTCATGGGGAAAAGCTGGAAAATTCACTTGATATAAAATAATATATTTTTGCTGTAATAATTATATTGCACTGTATCATATGTTGGTGTATTTGATAACATGTGGGTCAGGTTGTTTTTTTTAGTAAAGTGTTTTTCAGGGTAACAACACTATTGACTTGTTGAAACCCTAAAAAAAATTATCAAACCTACTTCATGTCAAATACGCACGAAAGTAAAAGTTTATATTTAAAAGTAATATTGAGTCCTCACTTAAAGTGCCAATTTCTGTCTATAGAAACACGTTGTTTCACATCAATATAAGCTCCAGGAACACTGCTTATGGGCTGATTCCAACAGTCACATATACGTCTGTAAACATTTCTTGTATAGAAGCTTTCAAAACTGTGGTAAAGTGGAACATATCCCTGAAAATTAAGCAAAAGTGATTAAGTACAATTCAGGATTCTGGTTTCAACAGTCATGAAAATATAATGCTTATAACCAAAATACACAAACTATATGAAAATAAACTACATTCGAATTTATCAGTTTTTCTTAAAAATTTCTTGAACAAGAATCAATCATTGCACACTTTCTTCACTGGATGAGTGTCACTTATATCCCCTATTTTTATCCTTGTCACAGTGGAAATAATAAAATTCCATAAAATATAGTATAAATTTAATAAATAGTATTTATTTTCAGTTTTAAAACAATATTTAATGTTTTTATAATTTTTCAGGTTGTGAAAATTCTAAAATTTTGTTGAGACACTATTTTCAAAAGGAAATTTAAAATATTTTCCTTTTAAATCTTACATTTTCAGAAATCAAATGAATTTCAAGTTCAAAGTACTGAGAGTTTTTTTCTTGATGAGTTACTCTTACGCTATCAATAACTATGTGACTCAAAGTTTTGAATGTTTTTGACATAGTGCAGAGCATGTGTCAACTTACCCAGAATTCCCCACTCTACCATATTGCACAAGTAATAGAAAAACTTACATAGGCTGTGCTTTGAAGCCATAGTTAAGATTTCTTACGTGTAATCATAAAGGAAACTATATACCATGTGGTGGCTGTGGTGAGGCAAGTGAGAAGGCATTTCAGAGGTAAGTAGCCATTTGAAATTCATCTTAATCCTAAAAATGTAAAATTCAAATCAGGTAGACTTACCACATTAAAAAGAAGATGGACAATGGGGAGTGTTAAAATTACACAAAAAAAATACAAACACACAAATGTTATAAGGCAGGAAAGTAATAGCATAGACTACACTAAAGATGTGAGAAACAGTCAGAATAAAATCCAAAATTAGAAATATCTGTATAACTGAATTAGAGGGAGAATGAGCGGATCTAAGGAATTTTTCTCAGCAGATTATCTCTTTGCCCTTGATGCCATATGTTTCATAAAGAAAGGGGTTTGGTTAGTGATATAATGTGTTTACCTGTGCAGCCAACAAAGTGAACACAGGTGGTGCTATAAACAGGAAGGATGAATATTATGTCTTGTATCTGTTGTGGAAGATTCTCAGGAAAGAAAACTAGCTAAACTTCATATGAGGACATATTGCTGGGCCCCTTCATCCACAACTGAAAGGGGCAGTGAACTATGAAAATGGAAAAATCACCCGGTGCTCAGGGAGGAACAAATGAAGACGAAAGTTGTTCCGAGGAAGTGAACTTGAGGACAGTGTAATTGGAACACCATATAATACAGAAAAGAGAGAAAATACATACATTCCCATTTTGATTGTAGCTATGAGACATCCACTGCAGTGGCATTTCTAGAATCTTATATTTGGGGAGTAGAATGGGTGTAAAGAGTTAGATGGAAGGGGGGGATAGAAAGGGGTCAAATGTTACTAAACACAAAATAAATAGGCTTTTTTACTTTTAAGAAGTGTCTATATATTCTTTTTAGTTATCAAGAAAGCTGAAATTACCCGAGGCTCTTTTTCCACAGCTTTGCAGCAGTCTCATTAAATCCACCCCAAGACCTCAAATGACTGGAGATACTTCTTTCAGTTCAAGTTACATAATATAACTAACTGCCTTTTCAAACAAATTAACACTTTCATGTCAGTATGAGTTACAAGGTAGGATAATTTTTAAAATCTTAAATGACTAAGTCCTGATATCTCAGATGAATAAGGGTGGAAATCTGTACCCTCTCCCCTTAAGCCACCATCTCTGTAGATATGTCACCAATTAACTGAAAATAAGTTTACCCCCTTAAATATCTCCAATTCTACATAAGGATGTGCAAGTAGACATAGGAAAGGTAAATATCAAGGCATCATAAGCCATCAGATGGCAGATGCTGTCCACTCCCAAAGGCATCACCTTCTCACATCTATTTACATAGATATATAATATTTTAAGGAATCACCAGCATAAAGGGTTGAATTGTGTCATGAATAAATGCAGAAGTTTAATTAGCATGCAAAGGTCCCGGCTAAACAAAAAAAGCAGAGAAAAGCATAATCTCCTGAGATTAGAATAAACTTCCCATTATTCATATGAGACTAGGACAAAGGCAGGGATAGGAATAACCTGTGAAACATCTGGTTGTACATAAAATGTTTTTGAGTTGTTGACCCCAGACATCCATGAAACTGTTGACAGAGATATTAAGCACCATAGGAATATCTCAGTTGCTTTACGCACCATAGGTGTGGGCCCAAGAAGTAAATAAGCAAGTAATAGAGAATAATCTGCTATTGATTCCATAAGGCTTGGAGAATAATCATGGGCAGCAAGTGGAATCCTGAACTGAGAAGACAGCAATGTGATGTGAATAGAATCTCAGAAATGTGTCTAACTTCATTCAAATGCTAGCCTGTAAGGTTTTCTCTAATGGGTACAGAGTTCAAGAAACCAATGTAATTGCCAAATGATGAATTGGAAGAGAAATAACTAGAAATTAACTTCTTAGCCATTCAATTACATCAAGATCCACAAGACAAATTAGTAGCACAAACCATTTTTTAGTAGTGATGGACCAAATCCATGAGCGACGCTATTTATTGAGCCTCTCAAAGATTCTATTCATATGATATAGTAATAAGTGGCTGTAAGAGGATGTAAAAAAAATGTTCTTCAGAATGAAATTTTTGGTTAATCTGGATATGTAACAAAATTGTGAGAACAGCAGTTACCTTCTCTCTCATCTCAAGTCTTTGATAGGATGGATCTATCACAGTATAAGTATAGAGCCTTCCTATAAAAAACAAAAAGAGCATGGAAGTATCAAAGGCATAAACATCAGATTTTCCACTATCTGAACCTTGAAACAGAAGGAAATATATTTTCAGTGAAAAATAGTATATCAAGTAAGTTACTAAAGGTTCAAAAGCAGTAAAAGTGAGATATTGTAAGACAAGACCTAAGTCCCATTAAGGAAATTGTCTAGGACCTCATGGACAAAGTAAGCAAAATGTTTGAAAAAAAAATTGGTATAAAGTAAGGATGATAGAGAGAAGGTTTCTGTGGCACCTAAAGTGCCAAAGAGGGCAATGCTATAGCTTGCAAAAGAAAAAGCAGCTAAGCCATGATTACGAAATAAGAACATGAAAAATGAAGCAATATGTTGTAGTGACAAGAAACAGAACTTGACTTCTTTAATAAAGGACCATATAACAATCACACATGAAGCTATGGATAAACTTCATTGTTGATGATGAATGTTTGAGGCTGGCAAACAAGTTGTCTCCAAATAGGAAGTGAAAGAGGATACATTTAAGACAGATGGTGTAGCAGGAGAAGCCACAGCTGAGCCAGCCAAAGTGAAACAATAAGGATAATTTGACATTGGTCAACATCCACAAAAGAAAAGGAGGAAGGTAACCACCGAGAAAAAAGTTCTCCCATGAATGGCTCAAAGTATTCACCATTATACAAGCAGAGTCTGAAACTTGGAAGGAGTCAAGTAGAAAAGGATGATTTTTTGCTGTTGCAACTGCATCATACATGGGATGACCAAGCCATACGCATAAGGATTGAAAATCTGAGTGGTCCACTCTCCAAGGAAAGAGAATCTGAATAAATGTTCATAACACCTAACATATAAGATGCTTGAAGATAGATATGATGTGAATGGAGCCAAAGATGAAAACAGCCCACAGTAAAACAAAAGCTGTGAGACTGAGATCCTCCCCAATTGTTCATATATGCCATCAATGGAGAATTGTCATTGTGAAATACACAGTAGATGTGTAGTGATTGCAAAAGCTCTTGACAAGTATGCTTAACTACCAAAAGTTCTTAAAGACTGATGTAAGATTCTGATTCCAGAGGAGACTTGGAATCCAAAAGTCAATATTCCTTCGAGATGGTACCCCAGCCCTTAAGAAAATCATCTGTGAAGTGGTTCAGAAAAGGTTAAAAAAAGAGGGAGAACTGAACCTGCAGTAATAAACTCTCAATTAAGCCAAAATTGATGGTAATCAAGAGTAGCAGATGAGAAGGAAATTCCCTGAGATATCAAGTCCAAAGATGATGTCACTGAGAATCAAGATCCCTTTGGAGGTGTCACATCTGCATATGTCCCAAAGAAATTCCTTCGTGAAATGAGATTATCATCCCCAAAACAGAAAGGATGCATTTGTTAATAGGAGTGGAAGATAGAAAAGTATTAATATGAGACTCCAAGGCTTGTAAAATCATACGAAATGGTTAAGAGTTCTTTGAACTGTGTTAATACCATATCTAAGATGTACAAATACTGTGTAGGTACTAAATGAGGACTAGAGTTGGGAATGAGCTGACCACGACATGTAGCCAGCTGAGTAGTTATGTGAGTATATGTAAGAGACTTAATGGACAAAAGGGTTAGAATAAGTGAGATTTTCATGTAAAAGTCAATGTTTGGTGGTTGAAGTAAATCAGCAAAAAACAATACTTAACAGTAGACATATGGGGCTAAAGCCAAGCCAGTGAGAAGGCAAAGGACTGATAAACTAACCCTCTCCCCTGATGACATAAAAGAAATGATGGGATGTTGGATAAACAAGGGTATAAAGACAAGTAATTCCATACATACACTAACATCAGCCATTGGTTATAACTAAAAAACCTGTATAAAAAATCCTCAAATCCTATTAATGTGGTAGTGCTAGAAAAAGATTAATTGAGATAGGTCTCAAAATCTCAGATATTCGCAGAACCAAAAAAGACACAGGAGTAAACACCTGGAAAAGTGTAATGATTATAAATAATGCCTTTTTTCTGGAAGAGATTTTAAGACTTTCCGATTCAAAATTTATGAGCAACTGGATCAGAAAAAAACAACATTTAATCAGACTGAAGTATCTGTTGAATTCAAGGACCACAAAAGATCAACGATATCATATATGAATCAATGATTCAAAAAGACCCCCCCAACAATCCAGATGGGTGCTGTGCAGTACAGAAGAAAGTCAATGATTGAATTGAGAAGACCTACCTTGCTAATGAAAAAGTCTATGAAAAGGAATGAGAAGCTGCTAATATGCACAAGAAATAGGCAAAGGAAGCAAGCAGGAGTACAAACAGTACTTTCTGGTCATTTGGAAAGGATCAATTACCAGAAGCAAGTCAAAATGCTAGAACCTTAATCAATTCCTTAATCAAATGATGTAGGAAGAACCTATCTTTAGACCAGCTGAAAAACTGGGGAGGGTGGGGGGCAAGTACTTTGTAACAAAGCACATGGTAACAGAAACTACAGCAGTGAGAGCCAATGCTAAGGTAAGAATGTGATCCTGGTAAAAGGAACCAGGAGAATGAGAGTAGATGATAGCGAATAACCACTCTGAAAAAGAAAGCCTCAAAAATTAAACAAATCATAATGTCCTAGGCAGAAAACTTACAAAGGGTGAAAGTAGAAGGCCACTTGAAAGACTCCCCTCAAAAATAAAATAAAAAGAATATCAGATTGAATGTTAAGGAGTTGAGAACTAAGACGAGTACAATATGACCCCAATAAAAATTATTAACATTTATTTCAGTTATAAAAGTGTAAATGGTGACTTAAAAATCAGGAGAAAATGAAAAATATAAAAATTCAAGTACTGAACTATCCAATATGAGATAAATACGCTCAGGCATAAAAGAAATTAGTTACCGTATTTTTCAGTGTATAAGATGCACTTTTTTACCCCAAAATTTGATGTTAAAGTCTGCTTGCAT